ATAGAGGTATGTTCGTCATAGGCCTACTTTTATATGTACTTTTTTCAAAGTTTTTATCGAACTACATATTCATATTTATCTTCACTTGTGTGTAATTTTCTTTGATAAAATTCTTACAGTTCGTCATCTACAATTACGCAATCGAGTAATTTTAAAAGTAATTTGCAGCTAGAAGGTCGACATATGAACATAATTTGTTACACAAGTCATCATTTGCAATGCATATATTTATGTTAATATATGTACAATTTCTTGCCGATAAGGTATTCCGTAAAAGCGGAACAGAGTTGACTTTGTTAGCACAAAAATGATACGTGTTTATATATCAAGCTACCAGTCTTTCTTTTGGCAATTGTTGTATTAAAGGACTCGTCTCACATCACCACACAGATAAATAATAAGGGATACAAAGGGCCTAAAAGAAGTATCAGACACATTCATGACGATTCAGGATTCTCAACTCGCTGCAAGAGTGAAAATGGTAAAAAGTGAAAGTAAATCTGGTGCTGCTTTGAACCGTCTGAGCCAGTCAGCCATCCAGCAGCTCAGCTATCTGCCACCACATTTCTTTCCAAGAGGAAATCGAATTTTGAAAGAAAAGGAGGAAATTCCTCTCCGCTCTTGGTAGGAAAATAAAGCAAGTCAGTCATGCCATGCTGGAATGGATGGATCACTGCAATTCACAATTTCCACAATCACCATTTCAAAACTGAAATTGAAGGCTTTGTTGTAACCGAGGTAACAGAAAGTGCAAATTTCTATTTCGATCTTCTTGGTAGCACCGACTTGACTTGCAGAGTGTGGAAATATTTGAAAAAATCAAACAAAGCAAATGAATGGTTATGAAACGTCCATTACCATTTCAACGAGTACTTTCTTGGTAAATTAAATATAGTTTCGAGTGCGAAGAGGAATTAATAAGGCATAAGAGTTATTATTTTTCTTTTGGTTCGGACGAGGTTACGAGCTTGCCATCATCGTCAGTCGGGAAGCTTAATATTTAACTCTATTCATTTTATTTTCCTCTTTAACCTTCCCCTTTCGGCTGAAGTTGGTGGAAGTGATCTTGGAGCCCATCTATCCATGTAGATCTCCGTTCCTATCTTATCTCGCACAATTCAAGAGGATTCTTTTGAACCTCAAAATTCCTCAAAAGAACACCGTTCATTTCCAGCACTTAGCAGACCCTTGGTCCATTATCAAGTCTAAGTGTACAACATTATTTTCACCATTTGGGAGAATGGGTGAGAGTCTGCTTGGAAATAAGAGGTGTTCATTTCATTCTGCGCCAACCAACAGTGCGGAGTAACTGCTGTGGTGCTAACTTTAAGCGTAATCTCACTTAACCTTTCTATCTCGGGATGGAACGATACAGAGAGAGTTACAGTTAGCGAGTAATGGTCACGATTGAATGGAGCTCGGTCTTCTGAGCTGAACAAGCATTACCAAGAAAACTTTCTTTTTTGGTCCACCACCACCACCACCGCCGCCGCCACCACTCTGTTCAGTCAAATAGAAAGGAATCAAATAAGCACGAGTGGCTAAAGGAGGCGATAGTTAAGCAATCCATACATCACTGCTTGACCACTCCATTATTGTTTCAATTCCTACCTACCACTTACTCACGGCGGAGAAAGTCAGGGCACGCACGGGTTCTGATTTGATACGAATGTATGGATGCAACTACACTGGACCTTTCTCTGTCGAGATTTATATACAGATTTAGGTATACATCAGTTATGTACATGTATACATAACTTAATTATTGTCTTACAAATAATAAGCATTAAAATTAGAATTATTCAAAAGGGGACTGTTACCAGCAGAATGATATGGCTGAGCAAATCAACTTTTAATCCTCTTCAGTAGTTTTCCTCCTCCACGTCTGCGACTAATGAGCTCCAGTCACGAGTCAAAAAACTCATTGTACCAAGATTATGCGTTAAAAAGATTTATGATTTGTAACGGAAAACTTGAAACCTTTTTACGGCTGCAGTTCAATCATAAAACTTGATAGAACATTGAACCAAAAGTGTTGATGCAGAATTTTCTTCACTTTCAAGTGCAAAACTCTCAGGAAGGAAGAAGGATTCTGAATAAATGCATCACTTTCAAACTTTTAGGAAATGCAGGAAATTGTTAAAACTTTTCAAAACCGAATGCTATCACGTCAGACTGTTGTACCCACTAGCCAACCACACTTCAAAACTTTATCCTTTTTCCTTAAGAGAAAATCAATTATGATTTCCGTGGAAAGTACGTAATCTATGTCTGCCCTTAAAAATGCATAATGGGACGTAACACTAATTTAACGCCTCTCCATGAATATTCAAATTAATGAAAACAGATATGTATGCATTTATTGTCAATGCATTCTGCATACTCAATTCTGGAAAGTATGCATAACTTTTCCAGCAGGAATGCATGCACATAACATCATTCACAATGTCGCTTACAATGTCGCACGGGGAAAGTGAACCTGCCGAATGGATTGACGACATTAAATGTAAAACCACAACCAAAACCCAAGTGTCCAACAAGGCGGAAGGATTTGCAATAAGATGCACGAAATAAGGTCAAATTTAAGACGAAGTGCTCAAAATTGCTTGAATTTGAATCCACGAGATCGAGATTATCTTGTCCTCGTTCTGCAGCCCTTTGTAAGTATCGGGCAGGGAGCTTGGCCGCAATATCTCTTCCACGAAATTCCCTCTCTCTTCAGCTTTCCCTCCGCTGCTGCTGCTACTTCTTCCGCTGATTCTCTTGAGCTCCTATTATGTTATTATTATTAGTATAATACTAAACCTTGTTCTCAAATTTAGATTTAGTTCGGTCTGCTAGTTCCCTCCGGTCGGCCTCAGCTTTCACTTTAGTGAATACAGATAGTCTTGTTCGCCACGCAAAAAGGAATTCCATCCGTGCTTAGATTTATAGAGAATCATAACTGGGAGCAATTTCATCCGAGTGGGACCCGAGAAATATGATACCCCACGATATTTATAAAGGCACGACGACAAGGACAAAGTTTCAATGCAGAGTTTCAACTCTGCCCTCAATGTGATATGCTCTTCTTCTTATTTTACTTATCCACGATACGAAATGAATGCCTCCAGTCCAACAACATGTAAACGAATAAAGACCATCCGATCCTGGAGGAACGGCTCAGAGAGAGAGATCCAAGACCTGATACCAAATACCAGCCAGGAAACCCATAGGTCGCCCCGAATAGTAAAACCTATATCCTTACTTACTCCTCCAGCCCATATACGTACGTATACACACAACGCAACGATACATCATGAAAGTGTATGTGGCAAACACGCAAAATATGAATTCATTTTACTATCGGTAGTTTTCCTTAAAACTGAAACTAACTTTTTTACCATCAGCCTTGCCATATATTTTCTCAAATATCGAATCTCGATATCTGATCCCGAGTTCGAAGGGTATCAACAGTCCCAATCTAAAATGTAACATCCCAAATAGTAGCCCGTGGCTATGGTTTTTTCATGAAATCATGGGCAATGGATTTCACTCAACTCTGAGGATGGCACGGCTCATATTTTGCCAACCAATTTCTCCCATCAGAGTAGCAATGTCAGATCGGATCGCTAGCTAGGAGGCTACGGAAGGAAATACAAGAAACGATTGTTTACGTATCCAATGTCTTATCCTATTCTTTGTGAGATGAATGAATATTACCTTTCTCGGCAGTTCGTAAATACTGAATGGAAAGAGGAAGAGAAAACGAGAGATGAATAGATTGCCTCGTGTTTTCTTTCCTACTAAAGATCCCAATGATGATTTAGTACGTTATTGGAAGGAAAATCAAGTTTTCTACCATCTTGTACACTTTCCTGCTCCAGATCACCTAAAGTCTCAATTTCTGGATAGATGTATGTAGTTGATGATAGTTGATGTAGAAGCCTACTCACTTTTCACAGACGATTTTCTAAATATTTTCATGTCAGACGAACTAAACGGAAAAAAACTTGTCGGTTTGAAATTGAGAAAATATCAGTATGTTGTCTTTAATCATTTTTCCTTTTCCTTTAGCCATTCAGACTTGTAAAAACGATCATTGTCATTATCATCGCCATAAATAACTGCATACTCGATATATTTGCATACGTCAACCACACATATCAAGCAATGGCTGGCACACGCAAAACTCATTTTATTGTACCACGACAAGTTTCCACAATCTCGAACCAATCTCAATTTTGATTCTGAATCTGAGATTGAAATATTTTCTAGCTCACGGGGCAAGCAATGTAAGTTAAATTTTATGTAGCAAGTAAAAATAGGCACGGATAGTGTGGCATGCAGACGGCGTGGTGAAAGTGTGTTGGCTGACGCACATGAGAGGAGAAAAGAGTACAATGAGCATTGTTTGTGGAGACTGTGAGCAAAGTGAGTGAGCGAGGTAGACGCCAAGGAAGAAGACGAACAAGTGCTGGCTTAAGGCTGAGAGAGTGTGCGCTCTCTCGTCCCTTCACCAACTTACATATGCATCTGGAGAAAGTGTGGATTTGGACGGGGCAACGTAAGACTTCATCCTCAAGTCATCTTCATCATGCACAACTTTTTCCTTGTCTCAGTTTTACAATGTTGGAGTATTTCTCTAAATCTTTCTTCCATGACAGTGACTACTCAACGCACAGAAATACATCAGGTTTTGTACTCTGAACTGGACTTGGAGCCACCGCATTTCGCTTGGTTTCGCATTAGAAATTTCGGTGGAAACCACGAGGAGACCCTGTGAAACTCGTGGCAGCAAGTAAGCCTAACTGGAAGGCAGAAGGATCGTGGAGTAAGTTGGAATCTTCTCTCTTTGTTGAAGTGAGAGTGAGCAGGGTGAAGTGAAAGAGGACGAGAGAGAGACGGAGAGCGAGAGGGAGAAAGAGAGAGAGACAGAAGAAATTGCGAAGAGAGGGAAAAATGGGGAAATGTGGAGCTTGGTTGGTTTGGTAGTCTTTGCTGTGTGTGGGGCTGTAGAAAGTCAGTTTTCCTTCGACCTGGTTCTCATCAACAACACGACCTGCTCGCCGTGCTCACCCGTCGACTTGGACTCGGCATTCTTCATGGCATGTTGTTTGGCCAATCCAACGTGAGCCTGCCTTTGTTTCTCCAAAGTAAAGGTATGCAATTAGTTGCAAATTGAAGGTTTGCCCTGCATTAACATTTTCAATCAGTGCGTTTGCACACACGATATAATTTTAGCTATAAATAAATACATCTTGAGATCCTTCTCAGGCTAGAATTTTAATTAGGTCTTTCTTCAAGTTACTCCGAAATTAAGCAGTTAATTAGCAATTTGCAATAATGGTTATTTACATAAACATAACATTGGAATCTATTCTTAGACATGCGAACTTTAAACTTAACTGAGTGGTTTGAGAAAGTGAAGTCGTAAACCAAATCTCATTAAATGATTGGTGAATCATTGCCGACTCAAAGTAAGCTAAACAATACACAGTACGTTTGAAGTAATTGCATTCGGTGCGCACCGCACTCAACCAACACTGGCTCATTGCAAGGGATTAGTGAACCGTGAATATTCAATTGAATTTGGATTCATTCAACGAATCGACCCCTCCATTACAATAGATAGTGAAGCAACTCGGTGGCACATTACTCCCCTCGACATTTATCTGAAATCTTTTAAACTCTGAATTGTAGAGAGTGGGCAATAAATAGTGAAAGTAACTCTAGTGAATGCGCATAATTGTAGTAGCAGCAACTACAATCAATACTGAGTAGCTGCTCCCAACACAATTAAACAATCCAAATTCTCATCGGCAGCGAACATAATTCGTATTTATCTCGACTCATTAAAAATTCTGCGCTACTGGATCTCTCAATTTTGGAGGACGAAGACACCTTGGGACACTCGACGGGGGAATGCACGACTGACATTTAAAAGGTAAACATTAATTGTCACCACTACCACCCAAGCATCCTCATTCCCTCCGCCTTATCTTTCCTTGCCATCACAATCTAATTTGCTTAAATCGGGAAATTACAAAAGTGGATGGTCATCGCGTGGTTTTAAACTTTAAGCAAACGATTGACAAGGGAAACATTACTTTCACTACTGCATTGCACACAAGCCGAACCCGCGTTGATGTGCACCCACTACCAGAGCTATGGCAAAGTACAAGCTACAACTTCATATGGCAGACGGAAAGGGCAGAAAGGGCAGAAGTAGCATTAAATAGTTGACTGGTTGCAATTATTAAAGTGGTGTGGTTTGGCGTGGCGTGGCGTGGTTGTCCTTGCTGCCGTTGTCCTTGCATTAAAGTTGATCAAAGCCAACCATAATAATAAGACTTGTGTTTACTAAACGGATGAGTGTGAATTAGAATTACTTTACAAGCCCAGTCCTGACACGAACAAATAGCACCTTTGAAACAGAATAGAAAACAAGGTGGCCTCGAGTCCGTTGACTTTCATTGCATTAAGTGAAAGTGAATTCAATCAAGTAAAATTAAACCCCAACTCGTGCCAAACAAGTGGAAACTATTTTTAATTTAATTAAATAGAATTTAGTCAAAGTTTTTTCTCTTTACTTTTCTCATGTCACACGCTTTCTCCCACTGCTGAACACCTATTCACACATGTATGTATATGCAATAGCATATGTGTATTCGTATTCACATATGCATGTATATAAATTCAAAATTTGACAATTTTGTGCTTAATAACTCAAAAACTATACAACATGCAATAGGAAAAAATGTCATTTTGCATGCATGTTTTTGTACGACGGAAACGAGATTGACATAGAAATTGAAGTATGTACGAGGTGACATCAAAGGAACACAAGCCGAGGGTAGAGAGCAAAATGCAATTGCATTGAAAAACCACCATAACCACACCAATTTATCATCATCGTCCACACATTATAATAAATAAAGATTCCGGTTTTGTTTAGTCGACATGGGACAAAGGGTGGCAAATAATGCATTAACCTTTGTACATTAGAAGGCGTATACATTTACGGAACCTGCAGCCTACAACCTTTACCACCTACTCTTGTTTGTATCCGGGAAAGAATAAATCGTCGAGTATTCCATTTTTCACTACACGGCTTCTCATTTTCACTAATATTGCTTTACAGCATGCTACGCACCCCTTCAATATTCAACTTTGATACGATGGTCTATTCATTAACAACAGCGCAGGGTTGTAAATCCACATTGATACAAAGCTAGCTGGCTATTCGTGGGTAGCGTGGAGTTAACATTTATTTGTTGACTATAAAGCACATGGAAATGAGTTTCTCTACACAGTTCCATTGACTGAGCCTGGCAACTTTGGTGGTGGTGCAAGTTGAAATAAATATCCCTAATCAGCTAAAGTGTATAATTAGTCATTCATCTGCTCGTAAAACCAACCTTTCCAAAGCATAAGTATAAGTATTATTATTGAAGAGCTCAATGACTAACTCACCCACTTTTGGATGCCATTGTGTGCTACGTTCCATAGTTCACTCACATTCGAGCCTGCCTATTTACATATTAGGCGAATAGAAACATGAGGAGGAGGAGGAGGTCGAGTCTCATGAAGTTTCCATGCTTTGGTCGAAATTAACCATTAAAGGGAGGATAATGTTTGGTTTCCTGGTTTATACACAAGACGATTATCCGCTAAACGCCCAAATGTATTGTTTAATGCTGGAGAATGGTGAGAGAGCACAAAGAGAGGAGAGAGATGAGAGGTACCAATTACGGAAGTTTGGGTATAACGAGTGTGGGGTGACACAGAATGACACGGCGACCGAGCCGCTGCCACCAACCACTTGGACGAAACATTGTTTATACTTGAACTGACAGGCAGCCACGTCGTTATTGGGACAACGATTGGCTTACACCTACTGGATTAGTTATTAGCTCACCACAAGCACCATTCATTATTTCGATAATACGACGACTACTTAGAATTAACAATAGGAACATGTCGATTGAACTTCTAGGGAACGAAATTTGCCAACTTGAAGCAACTATTATTAGGTAAATACATGCGTTTGGCGAACAAGGTGAATTAACACTGCATGCATTTCACTGTAAATGAACATCCACAATTTTAGCTTGTGGGACAGAAATTAATCGCACAATCGTTCAATTTATGGGTATAAAACAAAGTGCATAACTCTGCTCAGTTCCAGTTCAACCAACATCAAAATTTACCACCTACCACCGCACTCAAAATATAATTCAGTGCGACGTTCGGCAACACGATTCAAGTTGCGTATTTACTTTCTGTCGAGGTTTGTCTCTTGCACGCTGTGAAATTTTGAGTGACAACAAGAATTACCAAGTCTCTAATGAGCAAAGAGAAAGCGCCCGCACTAACCCGTTTGATAGCCATTAGAAAACAAAGGGTTTCGTTAAAGATTAAATTTTCAACTCTCATAAATTGATGTGGTGACTTTAATCCATTTCCCCGTCCAATCATACATTGACAAAGAGAGAGATTTTGAATGGTTCTCGGTACAATTGCCAAAATCACGCTACTTATTTTATGCACTCAATCATCACTTGAATCACTATTATGAAAGTCAAGTGCGGCCTACTCTAACTTTCCACTTTAGGGACTTGACACATGCAACTATGCAACATTTAATATCACCCACACACCAAACCATGCATGCTTAGGATAAACCCCTCGCCACTACACTCGCCAATTGCTCCAAGCCATTTGAATATGTGGCCCACTTGACACCAGGAAGGAGAAAGTGTGAAGTGAAATGTTGCTTATTGCTCCAAAATAATGGTGAACATGAATTGTCGAGGAAATTGAACTCTGCTCGTTGCGAGACGGTGCATATGAATAATGTGTAAATCGGACAGTGCAGACTATAGAGCTGTATACACTCATGTACTTGATTTTTCCTTTCTCCATCAACAAAAAAGATTGTGTATCATTCACCATAATCAGCACTAAATGCATTCAAGTATTTCAATATGAAGCCATACAAGATGTATGTTCATACATACCGATACGATGCACGAACTATAAATACACAACATGCGGTATCCATCATCCTTTGTCAATACGTGGACTGGATTGGCCCAATGCGGTTAGGTAATCATTGAACAACATAATAGACTGCCTTTCACCAGTTTATTATTCTCCTCGTCAATGAGAAATCTGTTCGAGCATGTTCAATCTCTAAATTGTTCTGAACTTGCCTGGTTTGTGGAAATCGATCTATCGTGCTCCGAGATCATAATGGTACACGAGAACAAACCCTTTTTTTAAACGGGGAATTGATTGAATAAAACTGCACCCAAATAAATGCAGTTGAGGATGAAACTGCGCTGGGTGGATGGATGGCTTTACGAGATTCCTTATTTTCCCTTCCAGTCAATTCAAAATCGAGATTGCCTTTAACCTTTCCCTTTCCGGAAAGACTACTCCCATCTTCTCCGATAGAAGCATGTACATGGTTCACTCCCCAGCTTGAGCTTTCCTAATCTGAAATTTATTGGCAGTGGCATTCTCGAGGTGCATGTCCGACGAGCTGAAGCTAATGGAGCGGTTGAAAATGATAGACAAAAAGAAATAAAATAACAACATTTTCACTCCATTTGGCTGCAATAACGAATCCGAACCTCATTGATTTCGATAAAAATAAAATAAAATCCTCATCTTCAAACTCCAAGCTTTTCTCGGTATGAGAAGTGTAAATATTTTGTGCTAAATATAAAGTCATCAATGTCTCTACTTCCCCTTCATCTCAATCCCGTTTTGGTTTGGATTGAAATGTATGTACGCAATTTCAGTGCACTTTGACCGGAAGTAGTGAATTATAGCGAGTTGATTGAAGTGATACTTACGGTGTAGATACGATATCAAGTGGGCACATGTAAAGTAAGGTATGAGTGAAGAGGGGGAAATAAAATTAACCACCACACGATGGGTGACGGTTATTTGCCTCCAGTTGCATTGCATATGTGTATGCATGTAAATATTTAGCCACCGCATTTTTTACCTGCATATTTACAAGTCACGAGTCTCCCGTGAGTCATACGTGGTTGAGGATCATGGAAATATTACGACTTGCACGTCCACTGCAACTCCAAGTGTTTGAAAATTGGTGACGCAATCGTCATAAAGAGAAATCCAAACAAATTAGTTCCATTAATATTCCTTGATTTACTGATTGCCTACCATTTACGTAGAGCAGAAAGGTTTAAATAGAAGCCTTCTCGTTATAAATTCCTTGCTCGTGTAGAGAATTGCATATAACTTTCACTGCACGCAATTCATTGCCAACTTAATGGAATTTTCCTCAACTATTAATTAATTGTCAGCGTCCCTTTGTATGCAGGTACATACATATGTCGTGGCCAGGAGGAGAGTAAATCCTATGCTATTACTTCCCATTACTGGTCCGCTTTGTGCATTTCCGTTTCCTGCCTGCTCCTTGGTGCAATGGATATTCGCCTTGGATATTAATTCACTTTGCTGGAATTATGAAATATGGAAGTTAGTTAAGCATGAGTGCAGTCTGTGTTGTGTGATGTCGCATACCAAACAGGACGACGGACTTGAATGCATTGCTAAGAATTTGAGTACCGAGTTCTGGAGAGATGTGCATGAAATGTCGAGGCGCGTCGTGAAAGTTCGTTTTCTTCTTCATCTCCTTCTTAGCCCCATAGGCATGGATTTAGGCTTACTCCACTTTCTCTTTCGCTCTTTGCCAGGTTAGCAGATAGTTTGTGTCTGTAAGGCTAACGACATGCGGGCAGGAGGTGCCTTTACAGGATTAACTTCGCGTGCCAAATTTAATTACAAAGATAGTCTTGGTTTCCTCTGGGAACCAGCAGGATGTTGGTTGGCTGGTTGGTTGGCCGGTTTTCCAGCAGCGTCTCTCTCTCCAGCCTCCGTTTGGTTTCACTCAAAAAAACTTGTGTGATGGAAATTAATTGAGATTTTCTAATCAGAGATAAGGAGAGACCTGGTGAAATCAGATAGTACACACTGTACACACGTTCAGTCGCCCTCTGCATGAGCGCTGCAGCTAGAAGTTGGTAAAAAACCAACTTCTTATTCGCGAGGATTAATGCCAATCCCTCGTGTAACAACCTCGTAGGTTAACTGAGGATGAACTCGGTGACTCACAAGAAGTAAGAAGTGGAAGGAGGGCCAAGTCAAGTGAGACATGGATTAGTGTAGAATGAAGCTAACTTTTGCTATGAAATTGAAGCATGGGAACATTCAGAAAATTAAATTACGAAAAATGAATCCTTCTTGTATTCGTTATATAACTAGAAAGAATGGGAGAAGATAAGTACCCAGCTTTGGACTCGTGGAACTTTTCGGGGAAAATTGTTTGTTTGAAATAAGACACCCAATATTACTATCGCATCTTCTTAATTAAAATGAACACCCACATTATCACGTGTATTACGAATATACATAAATTGAACAAAATATTTTTACTTACTTATTTTGAAATGTAAAAATGTTGAAGAAAGATGTGGTTTATCCTAATCCTGGGTTCTTGTATGATGGAAAATTGTGGACATTTTATGTGTATGTACATATCTGCATCCTAATTTTTGATTTGTATTTACAGATATCTTCCCAAGTCTCCAAGGGTCCAGCCTGTATTTTTTCTTCACACACGATCTCCAAGCTCTCAACTGGAAGTCAAGCTTGCAGTGAAGATATCGAGCGATTTTTGCAAGTACTTGAGCAAAGGTTTGAAGAGGGGACACTTCCATTCCGCACGTTCCTGTTGTATCTCTCTTAAGGGAAAGGCCTGCTGCACCAACTTGCTGGACCAGCCCAAAAAGGAAGAAAAAGTTGGCCATACTTGATGAAAGTACTTAACTCGGCTCGTATATTATTGAGGTTCTGGGCTAAACTCTGAACTATGTGCAACACTGCTGGAGGAAGCAGAAGCCTGCCCACACACTCTGAAAGAGGAATATTAATGAAATGAAGTTGGCTGAATAAAATAGGTGCCTAAATCACACACAAGTTGAAGAACCAGCAGTGCACCCGCCCAGCATTCCAGCCAAAATTATGTGCAACGAGATATAACGGGGCACATATAAATGGAAAAATCATAATCTCCTCATTTATTCAGAAGCCTTGGTCTTTGTGGACGTAACGGTAATCTGGGTCGATTCCCCTCTCAGCATTCACAACTGCTCCGGATGGATGCCGAGGCTCTTTTTAGACATTAAATTACTTCATTTTCAAGAGGAAAGTGTTTCATTCATCCTTATCTGCGCTGTTATCTATATCTTATCTGACCCTTTCATAACATAACCACAAGACAATTTCAAAACACAGCAAATCTTCATTCATGAACGATATATAAGCAGCCAAATCGGGGTCCATGCCAAATTGCAGACCAGCATCGAGTGCAAGGACGTTGTTGTTCTTGTTTCAAAGGCTTTCTACGTGGAGCAAAAGTGATTCCCAAACAGAGTCAAACTAATCATCCTAATTGACAAAAGACAGCTCGATTGTGCGGGCTATGTTGACGGAGTGAAGGGGAAGCGGAATTGGGGCATTAAGGTTATCTTTGGGTACATTACCTATAATTGACTGCAAAGAATTGCTTCCTAATCATCAGCATAGAGGAGTGAAGTGCGAAAAGAAAGAGAGAGAAAGTAGGATCCCTTGGGGGCTACAGAAAGGATAAAAGTATTGCTCAAAGTGCTTCTGGAGGAGCAAAGTTTGGAAAAGTTGTGGAGAAAGAGAGAGGAAAAAGTGGGAGAGGGAGGAAAGAGATGATTTGATACTTGTGTGATGCGATATGATGATGATGGTGTGGATGAGAAGGTGCAAGCAGGGCTGAGGCTGCTCAAGCTCTCTGTGTTTGAGTGAAGTTGGGAAAGGACAAGTTAGACAAGACTGTGAATATGAAAAATTGCTAATCTGCTTGATGGAAAAAAGGACCAGGATATTTCTACCCTACGAAAAACTTGGCTGCACTGACTGATAGAACTATCACACGGAAAAAGAGAAAGAGAGGACAAACGAACGACCCACCGAACATCGGCACGATACGATTCTTCTCCTACTCTACAAATCCGACGACCAAGTCAGTGAGAATTCACTAACTAATGTTACAACCATCATCCACAAGCTATAACAATATAGTTCAAGGAAAGTGGTGAACATTGAGCGAAACAAAGCAAAGGGCCCACACCAGACCAGACCGAGTGTGTGGTGTAGCAAATACTTTCCCTTTATAGGTGTATGTGTATGCCTTGGTATTCTCGTGTGCTGAATGAGTAGTGAAGAAACACGAAAACTGTTCTTGGTGTGAGGTGTGGGATGAACTTATTCAGAGGAGAAGCACCTCGAGAAAGCTGGCCGACGTAGAGATAGTATAACGACATAAAGCTGCCACTGCACCTTCAGTCCGCGGCTGCAGCAGTAGTGTAATAACAGTGGAGGACGTCTATATCGTAATTCTTTCCCCGTATATCTCCACGAATCTGGAGTAAGTGAGTCGAGTGTGTACTTTCTCTATGAAATAAGACGACATGAAGAAAAAATCTTGGGAGACGTGCTCAGGCAAGTGCTCCCAACGAAATTCCAACAACAGCAGACCCACCACCACCAAATGCAGCAGCAGAAACAAGTCTCCGTTATGTAAAAGAAGCAGCATCAGCCGAGATGGTTGTGTAAGAGACGATTGGAGTCCAAGTCCGATTTCAGCTTCAGAATCCTCAGACATTTCAGACTCTGGTGGTGGCGGTGGTGGAGGCGGGATGGAGACATTGCTAAGCTTTGGTGGAATAAAAATGAGGAAAAGTGTCAACTGTCCCCATCAAAAACTGGGTGGAACGACATTACTTAATTCTAAAGTGAATGTGCTTGTGCAAATTCTTGCCATTTTACTCGCCACTTTCTCCACCATTCCCACCGTTGAAGGGATCGGGAAGCCAAGTAAGTGATTTCACTTAATTGTCCCCTTTGAATGAGTTGAGTGGATGAGCTTCTGCGTGATATTCTTCGTCATTTGCATTCATTATCTGTACAATAATATTTCACCACAAAGGGGAAACTTACACTTATTCCTCGAGCCTGCTTTTGTCGTTTTATGGCGAACATGAGATTTGCTTTCGCTTTAAACGTAAAATATGAATTGCTTAATTAAAACTTTTCTTGAGACTGATTTCGATGGAATTGTTCTTGGTTGTTTGAAATTGGGTTTGAGCCACACGTATTTATACAAATGCGCCATAACGAACAAATTTATCCCAGAAACGATAGAAGGTTGACATTATTGCGGGGTGAAAGTAAAGAACCCCACGTTACGCAATAAAATTAAAATCCCGTATAATATCATATTACATATTGTTGACGGTGTCATGTTCAGAAACTACTACAGTTCGGAGCGACCCAATAACAACAAGCTTTATATTTCATAACAGAAATTTATTGAAATATGCGTATGTATGACGTAAGAGAACGACGTATGGAACCGTGTGTTTGATTTTCGTTTCCAAGCTTCCTTGATCCAGCAGCTGTCTCTTCTTATATAACGAGACACAAATTGTTTATTTAAATGCATGCATAGTTTTATTTAATTGATGCTACTTATTATTGGATACATCCGCATCTGTAAACATTAAAAAGAAAAATATGACGTAACAAATCAAGGTGATTGCTAATCGAATTTTTAAACAATTTAGTGGAAACTGTTTGTTTATCTAGTTATGAAAAACTTGTACTATTTTTATTTTATTTTGTTCCAACTTATTTTATTCTACAGAACATGTCACTTGGAGCCGCTAAAATAAACCCACATTGCCTCCATTTCTAGCCCCACGATTCGCAAACTTTATGCATAACTTGGTTCTCTTTACTTTCGACGACTTTCGAATTTGGAGATGCGAAGAAAGTGTAAGAAATTTTTGCAAGTGATCAAAGTGAAAGCAGCTGGCAAGTGAGGAATACATACATACATTTCTCCTCTAACGTTGCATCACCCAGCTCGTCTACATAGCGAGTGAATGGATTAGCGAATTTATGTTTTGTTATAAGGAGCTTAACGATTTCTTATTTAACTTTGCTTTACTACACGAGCTCCGTGTGGAGGAAGAATTCTGTTTGAGTTTGAACAACTGCTGGCGTGCTAAAGATAGGCAAATCAAGCAACTTTCTCTTTTCTCTTCTTCGCTTTTTGTCCGTCTTGTTTCATAACAAGCACCATATTTCGTCCAGAGTTTCGCCATATTCTTTACAAGCCATATGCTCTCCGACGCAGAAGAAGCGATGCTCTTTGCATAAATGTGATGAAGGAGAAAGGAGCGAGTCAGTACAAGGAGCTGGTTGACTGGAGTGAGATATATCACATTTTTGGTGCAGATTTTTATGCTACGACTAATAAGCAAATGGACTGGTATTGTCATCGTAGGTTTTTTTAAAGTTCCAGTTAAGTTTAATTCTGAACCAACTGTAAGGTATATTTATAACTTGAAATGATTAGGCATCATTGTCTGCATCTGTCAATTGTAGTCTGGCAATTTCGACTATGCTACAACCTTCTCGTTTTCGTTTCTCTCGGAGATTAAGTAACTTTATGCCATTTTGAAACAAGTAGATTAAGTTTTAGTGTTACTAGAGTTTGAGTATGTTTCAGCGAAATGTCCCAAACTATAAAAATGCGAATATGAAGACGAAAGATATTATTCGTAGTATCAGCATAAGCCCGTAATGCTTACTTGGTTAATAAATTCTGGAATGATGGGATATAAGAAATAAACTATAATCAGTTAAACCAAAAAAGAAAGATTATTAACAGGCTCAAGTATACATGTCTATCAAGGTAAATAATTGAGTTATTTTGTTAATGCCTAATTAAATAATTACAGAAGAGCTATCCATAAACTAAACTTTTAGGAACCACACTTTCATCTCAATGGAAGAGAACAGGCTATCCCATACTGGGAATCCATTTGTTTTAGAGGGGATAAAATATATATAAGTATCACCAAGTATGCGATTTAGTATGTAAAAACATCCATCTGGATCCACCCAAGGCGTGGTGGTGGTCCGAAGAGAGGAAAAAATGAATTTGGATTCTTGAGCTGAGCAAGACATTTTTGGTGTTATGATAGTCTCTTATTCCGAGTAGGACGTGACATTTCTAAAACTAACGCTTTTTCACGATTCTTCTCCTTTTATAAATTTTCCATGAGGAGTAGACGATGGAAAACAGTCAGAGATTATCATTGGGCTGACATTCCCCAATTCTGACATTTCACTGGGAGAAAACCAGAGAGAGAGAGAGTCGACGAAAATCCAGTCAGTTAACGGGAGCGGTTTGAGTGGTTATAAGTGTGGGACGAATATAAGTACACTCGGGTTTTCCATATTCATGATACTTTTCATGAAATATTTGTCATAAAACCGAAATAATTTATGAGTGTGCTTGTTTGATACTCAACTCGACAACAGGACGACCCGTTTGGAGGGCGAATTGCGAACAAAGTTTGCTGGGATAAAAGCACGACGAATATTTATTCCATTGGCGAATTATATGCATGCTTTCGATTATGTGGTCGGCTCATAGATCGGCATAAACTTTCAACTGTTTACTTTCGCAATCTCATAAACAGTCAGTCTGTGCATATGTAAATATATACATGGTTAGCTAGTTAGAGGTAGACGCCATGAATATTAATTCGTATACAACAACAGTCCATACATAAATACGCACAAAACTTTTACATGCGCTCAATCGAGTATGTATGGAATTCGATCAACTAACTTGGATCAAGTGACTTGGACACTTGGATCAATTCCTTACGGTTTCTCAACTATGGATGGATGACACTCTGGACAACGATTATGCGTTGAGTAATTTATTTCTGGTTTATTTATTGAATTTTGGGACAAATCCTCAACGTTCGTATGTATTGTATTCCATCAAGTCAATAATATTATAATATTGCCCAGGTTGCATGTTAATTCAATTGAATATGTATGCTGTCTGCCTAGTCGCTACCAGCAATTAAATATTGATGCGAGATGGTACATAATTATTTTGTCGGATGTACATAAGTGGGATTGAGAATTACAACCTTATTCCTTCGTTTACATAATTATATTTTACCGTTGGAGAAGTACCCACGAAGAGAATAAATCAATAATTTCGGGCTTGGCCGTGTCAAACTTGTTGACCAAATGTATTTATTTGGCTTGAATTATGAATGGTCATGCTTCAAAATGTTTATTGTTGTTAAAGCCTATATTGAACTACATACAGAAATCCCACAGTTACGTATGCTTATTAAAGGCGTCATTATTTCGTAATTATGAATTCACCCGTATGATGACCACTGTTGAACTAAGTGGTTGCATAATTTTCCATTTTCATATTGTTTTATATATAAGGTATATATGACAAATACACGGTCATCGTAATAATAAAGTATGGCGATGATACTTTGGCTAACCCATCTTTAAAATAACTCTGAAACATAAAATGATTTCATCGTGAAATCAAATCTCGATCTTTGTCATGAAACACAATTCTCTTATTGCATAACCACAGAATTATGTAAGGTGAACCCTGCATACACTTTGTTCAATTGAAATCTTGGCGCACAACTAAGTATGTACATAAAATGGGCCCACTTCTCAGTTAGCAATATGCATTGTTTATTTATCATCTTGTTCCCAATGAAATGGTTGCGGGCTTGATGCTAACTTTGACATTTGAATTGCCGGATTTACGGCCACATTGGAAATAAACGGCACAAGATATTTCATTCAAGTCTTGATAGCTGAATGTTTCGGATACGAAATCAGCATTTTTTCTGCACCGGATGAGATGCGAAAGTATCCTTTTTCTTTGGGAGCACATTAAGTGAAATGGCTTACACACACAAGTCAGTAACGAACGTACACAGTTGTATATATAGGCGAGCTAAGAGGTATTGAGTGGTTGCATTGCAGCAGAATGTTGAATTGGTGAATGTGATGGAGAGTTATTGAATTGAATTTCCTGTAGTAACACCTACTTTCTCTCTGGTAATTCCAATGGCTTGCTCTCTTTTCTCTACTGGTTGACGCTGGATGTGGATGCATGCACTACTCGAGCGAAACACATCAAAGCTTCAAAGCCCGTTATGTTTCAAGTGATTTATTCCTCTAGTTCTAGAATCGTGAGTCCCAAAAGTCTAATTTTTACCTTACCTTCAGATCAATTCAGACCTCTTTCCAATCTTGGCGGAATGCAATTCATTGTGCATTCCACATTCACATGGACGTTATAATATCATCCAAACTACGGCTGTTGTGAGAAACAGAAGGATACCATACATAAAATGTAGCTCACAGTTGGCCAGCTATCCGTCTTCCATACTCTTTGCTCATTTTACTTACGTAAAAACCATGTATAGAAACTTTTGCACCTTGCACTATGTACATAGTTGGCGTTTGCGACTGGCAAGAAATAATGACCTCATGCTCTTTTTCTCTCAGTTTTCCACAAAAACTGTGTTGGTTGAGATCAATGCAATCTGCAGATAATGATGGAAAGTTATAGAGGTTCAGGTGACGTGTTTTGTCGCACTTTCTCCTCTTGGAAAAATAGCCATTAGAACATTCCGTCTCCCCCATTCACGGTTTTGTGAACATGTAGACGACAAATTAGGACACATAACTGTTGTACAACCTGGGCGAGTGGGGAGCTGTGGTTAAGTGGGACCAGGCATTTCGCTGTTACCGTCACAATTTATTCTCACACGAATGGTTGTTACCTTCTTATCTATATTGCATTTTGCTCTATTGCCACTTTTCTTTCTCACTCGATGCCTTTGTGTAAAATTCAATGCTGTCGATCGCTGTTCAGACATACTGCTAAAAGATTGTACGAGCACTTGCGATGATCATTCACTAATTTCGTAGGGATTCGTAGTGCCATTATACATTCC